CCCTTTCTTTGGTCTCCTGACTGTATGGAAGCAGCCTGCATCATTTCCCTTCCACCTAAGTTCCAATTAATGTTTGAGAGGTCCACTTGCATGTTTTTCACTAGCTTTGCTGGCAACATTAGGGCAGTACAGACCCTCAATCCCCACTTATTAGTGAGTTCGAAGATTGTGCTTGAAGATTTTCCTACATATTCAGAGGTCTCCCATGTGGGACACCCACTTGACCAATAATGGATCATGAATAAATAGGTGAAGAAGAAAAAATGAATAAATAGGTGTTCAAATTGTATCAATCATATTTTAAAAAACAAAACAAAAACATAACATACACATTATTCACTGATGAACAATTTATAGTGTATGTGTGTTCTGTTTTCCATGCTGCTGTTTGTTAATTGACAGGGAAATTCCGAGAAGAATTTAAAGCCACATTTTCTTTCTGCTGTGACTTTGGCATCAGCCACCCCTGAGGCAAACGAGGCAGGGGACGGGCAAGCACAGAGAGTCGGAAATCCTTGACCATCCAGCTCAGCAACTTTGATCCTGCTTCAGAGGTGTCTGAGCACGTTGCATTGACCAATATAAGCACACTGCCAGCCAATGGCACTGGACCGATGCACAGCTGGTAGTTTCTGTGCCTTTGGACACCTTTGGGAAGGTAAATTGGTGCATTCAGTTGTTCAGACTGAAACAAAATATCAGAGTGTGAACTAAGAGGAAGCCAGGTTAATATACAACATGTGTCTTCTAAAACGGGGCACAGCTTTGTTTAGAAATGTATAAGATTTTCATAGTATTTGCTTTTGAATGGTAAGAAAACATTTAAGAACATTAAAAACATTTTATATCAGTATCTTTGTTGGTATGGTTTAGGTTCTTCAACAAACATACATCTATTGGTTTACAAAGAGTCTCAAAACATTGACAACAAACCAGAAATACAAGGGTTAGAATTTTACATTAAAACAGACATGGGTGTAACACTGAAAACATTTCAGAGAGAGCAAATGTGGTGTAGTGGTTAGAGTGTTCAAGTAGGACCTGGGAGGCCCAAGTCTGCATCCCTACTCTGCCATGGAAACTTCCTGGGTGACCTTGGGCCCGTCACTCTCTCTCAGCCTAACTTGCTTCACAGAGTTGTTGTTGTGAGGATAAAATGGACATACTGTTGGTCCCCACTGGGGGAAAATGCTGGGTATAAATGAAGTTTTAAAAAATAGATTTCTCCACTCTGAGACTGAAGTCTCCTTTTTCATGTCTCTTGCTTCCAGCCAAGTGCCCTTGCTGCCTGTGTCCTGAATATATAAGAAGATGCAGACGGGGCCCTTTGTTACTTTCCAACACTTCTGCATTTTAAAAAAGGTCAGAATGAAGCTTTAGATAAACTCAGAACATGTCTTGAAATAAACGGTTTGGGATCTGTGGGATATGGTGCTGGTTTTCCAAAGCTCAAAGTAAGCAGTTCACTGGAAGACCACCAACAGTTCACGGGACTGAACAAGCCTGCAGGCCCTGCCCTTAAAACAGGCATCTCACAACATGAGTGGCATATTAGTACCATAACAGAAAACAATGACACAGTTCTAGGATGCCATTTCCCTGAATTAGGGGAAGTTTCTGTTAAGCGAAGCATGATCCACATCAACAAGTGCCCCACAGACAGTACTGAGCAGGGATGGGGTTAGACTAGATGACTTATCAGGCCCATGCAACTCTAGGACCCGCTTATCTCATTTGTTACCAACTTCCCTACATTCTGTCCCAGTCTTTCCATGACTCACCAGTCCCAAAAGTCCTTCCTGTTGACACTGCACTCACATCTCTCAGTTCCCCATCTGGACTTTCCTCTTGTTTGGGCTGTCTCCAGCCAGACCTGCATGGTCTGTTATCATATTCCTCTGCTACATACTGGGCCCCCACCATGTGTTTAGAAGCAACAGTACCACTATTTTTTCCTCATGGATTCCCTTGACCAAAGTCTCCCTTCACAGCCTGTCATCACTGATCACAGAAACTTCAGTTAAGAAGAAGATGGAATGTTCTTTTCCAACCACTCCATTTCCATTCTCTGTGACATGAGGATATCATGGTAAACACAGAGACAGACAGACAGCTAGCCTGACCGGGTGCCTAAATAGCAAAGAGCTGCAGAATGGGAGCCCATAGGCCACTGGCAGCTCTCCTTAGACTAGGCTTAAGCCTAGGAGCCAGTCTTGAAGACCTTGTGTGACCACCAATTTCCCTCCCTTTTGTATCACTTATGCAGACCTGAGATTATCAATGACATACCTGAAGATCAGCTGCCCGTATGGCTACATCTCTCTACTCCCAGTCATTTTCAAATGTAAGAACTTGCCAGATTTTATTTCTGCACCCACCATCTGCTGCCATCAAAACTTTTCCAACCCCACCCCACATTTTGTCCCCTCCATTTTCTTTATTTTACTTCTTTCACATGCATTGGATCTTTGAGAATTGCTTCAGGAATACTCATCTCTGGCTACACCAGCTTGCCACATCATGACACCCAGCTCTATCTCACACTTCCAGCAGATGCCAGGGAGGGTGTGGTTATTCTCCTCTCTGTCCAGTTGTCTATTACCCCCCCTTCTCTATCTCTTTTACATTCCTTTCTCTCCAGTTTTGTTTCTATCTCTGAACTCATCCCTTTGGTCCAAGCCCATATGTTAGGGCTTCATATCAAGACTGTCCTCTCCATATTGGATAAAGTCACTGACTGCACATTTAGAGCTTCAGTGACGTAAGTCAATGCTGAAATTAATGTTTGTGAGTGTAACAGGAGAAAACTTTGTTACAGTTATTGGCCTTCGTTATTGTGTGCCAGCTCAGAATGCATGGCTAAAAGTTTACTAACCATGATCTGACCTGAACCAAGTCCTTCTAGGAATGCTGTATATATCTGAACACTGTTATTTCCAGCATTTGTGAGCAGGTACAAGCCTGTCTGTTTTCACTTTCCCAGGAGGCGAAGGGAGGTAGGGAAGTAAAAGTGAGTCAACATTACTGATATGGTCCTGACAGGGGAGTCAAGAATAGGGTCATTCTTTACTGGCATTTTTGAGTTCAGCATTTCTTGTTTTGGCCAATCATTGTACTGTGGCAGTACTACTGCCTCACTGGCTCAGGAAGATTATTTTCATTCTGTGTAACCATGAGAAGCAATTGTCTATCCCACTATCTGGGGCTAAACACAAAGCATGTGGAGGAGTGGGGAATCAAACCCAGTTCTCCCAGACTAGAGTCCATGCACTTAACCACTACAGCAAACTGGCTGTCACTCATCTCACCACACAGTCTATTTTAGGAAGAAAAACTCCAGTCCCACTCAAGACTCCCAGAAATGAGGAGGGGGCACTCACTTGCCAGTTTGTGCCAGCCTGTGTTCATTCACCAAGTGAGAATTTTCATGAGGACACCTCCTTCCCTCAGGCTGAAATTTAAGAAAGAGGCTTCCTTAGATGAGCCTCATTGGTTGGGGAAGGGGCGGTAACTCCCTTCAATGTACTTTCCCATTGAAAGCAATGGAGATTATGAGATCTGGCTGGATTCTCGTTTTGAAAACAACTGAGAGAGCTGAATGTGACCTCAAGCCTTGGCAGTGCCTGAGAAGTCCTTGGGCTTCTGAAGCAGCAACCCTAACTTTCTGTTTTCCCCACCCCAAATCAAGCACTGCCTCTGCTAATGTCTCCTCCTTGAACTATGTGTTCTTCCAGAAGATGGTGTGTAAAGCGCTGGTCCTTCATATGCACATGACGGTGCCTTGTACTGAATCAGAACCTTGGTCCATCAAAGTCAGTATTGTCTACTTAGACTGGCAGCAGCTCTCCAAGGTCTCACATAGAGATCTTTCACATCACCTGCTACCAACCTGATCCTTTTCACTGAAGATGCCAGCAGGGCCTGAACAGGGGAACTCCCGCTTGCCAAGTTGATGCTCTGCCACTGAGCCACAGTCCCTTTCGTAAACGCAGGTATCGTGGATACCTTGAAGTTCAACGTTTCCCCAGCCAGACGTTGCCCAGATTAATCCGGACCGAGTTTTATGACTTCTGCATCGTATACTCCGGAAAGCTGCAGCAACAGGTGCGAAGTGGAGGGCGGGCTTCAACCTGCCGAGAGACGCCGAGCCAGGGAGAGTCCCGCTCGCTCTTGGCTCCCGGCTGGACCAATCGCGCGCCTCCTCTGCGAAGCGGGCGCTGCCCAGAGCGACGTGGTGCTGAAATCACTTACTAGCGTTTGTAGAAAGAGATCCGTGAGCAACAGGCGCTCCCAGCCTGCAGTTTCCTGTGCTCAGCGTCCAGCTCCGAAATCGGGATGAGCTCTATGCTGTTCACAGGTAAGTTCTCCGGAGTTCTGCTCTTGTGCGTTCAGCTCCTGCCAATGATGGCTTGGAGGTAAGTCCCACTTTCTGTGGAATTCCAGTCTCAGTTGCCTGTGTTGTGAGGGAGCACGTTTGACAACATCAGAATTAATCCAACGCATGTAGCTCTCCTCTGCTTGTGTTACTCAGTGGTTTCTTTTCCTGTAAAGGACATGACAACAATTGTTGACATTCCATTCACATCTGCTGTAAATTACCCTCTTTCCTACTCTCCCTTGTGTACTAGGAAATGACATGTATTTTACCTTAAGTTTTTAGGCTTTGTAGCTGTCAGACCTCTGCCGTCTTTAAAATAATACTTGGTACATGCTTTACTAGCAAGGAAGTCATATCTGTAGCTTTATGTTCCTGGTTTGCTATCCTCCTGGACTCCTTTAGGCTGGGATCTATCTACCTATTAGTCTCAGTCTCAGTCTCAGTCTCAGTCTCAGTCTCAGTCTCTCTCTCTCTCTCTCTCTCTCTCTCTCTCTCTCTCTCTCTTGTCTACTCATCTCTCAAGTTTTGATCCTGTAAACAACTAAACAGTATAAACATGATGTACATAAGTACCTGTTACGATTCTTCCCAGCTGTTCTGTGAATCACAGTGATGCTTTTCAAAGAAGAATATTTCATT